CTCGCAGTCATCAGCAACAACCCTCATACTCTCAATCTCTTGTGTTGACATTCTCTCCAAGACTTTGATCTGAGCCTTGGCTCTCTGCTGAGGACACTGTTTGTTCTGCAGCCCTCTCCAGTGCTGCTGATGTTGTTCTCCTATCTCCTGTACAACTCCTAACAGTTGTGTAGGTAATCCTCAATGCTGTTTCCAGACCATTCTCCCACCTTCCTTCCCAAGAAAGCCTCACCACTGAATCTCATGTCATCCGACTATATCCCTAATACCCCACCTTGTTGGTCACCACGCATCACAAGACCACTCCTTATCATGTTTTTAACTTTTTAGCTCCTGGCTTGCTGTCACTCTTTCAAATACTGCTGCTGTCATAATGCTTAGTTCTCTCAACATCTTTCATGCCTCTAGCTCGCTATCTCTAGTAGGCAAACTGCAACTCTTCAACCACACACAGACCAACAATCCATTGATCCCGGTGTTTTCACTGTCCTCAATCCCATGTGGCCTCCTTTCCATACTTACCCAGCTTAGCTTCCATGCTCTATCATTACAATCACTTCTTCGCATCAATCTTACCACCACCTTTGTCCCTGCCCAGTTGTGTCGCATTCACCTACAAAAATCCCACTGCTTGTTAAATCCGTATCTCAACCTGTTCCACATCTGCCTCCTAACAGGCGAATGTAAAGGGAAAAACATGCCACTATGCTGATGGGTCTCAGTGTAAATCCAGAACGCTCCTTCAGTTCCTTAGTCATGTAGGCCTCTGGTGCTGCTGGGAACCCTAGTTCATTTTCCAGTCCATTCATTCCCCACGTCATACTAGCTGACAATAGAAATATTCTAGGGGCTGGACTGAAGGTAGTGTTATCTCGATTGTTCAGTTAGTTACAGACAGAATTCCTTGTTCTACTCTCCCTTCTCAATACTGTTCTTTAAAAACAACTTTTTAGCAGAAATATTCTAGGTACATTTATGGGTATTAGCACAATTCTCACAACTACCCTATGTGATTCTGTTTGTCTGATTAACAGATGAAGAAAATGAGATACCAAATGTCAAAATAACTTCCCCCAGATACTGTAGGCAGTGAGTGGTCAAGCCAAGATTCAAATCTATGCAGATGGCTCCAAAGTTTGAGTTCTTGACCTTATTAGGATTAATTCATATCTTGTTATCTATCAAACTTCCAACACCTCCACCTGCTCTTCCTCTAACCTCATTTCATTTGGTTAGTTTTGGGTTTTTTCCAATTTAACTTCCACAAACCCTCACGATCACATCTACCCACCTAATTACATCTGGGCCCATATATGCCTTCCTTCCTGAACTATGCCCAAATTATTATTCTCCTATCTTCTCCTATCTAAACCAACCCTTCCACTTGAGCACTTGACCCTGTCCCACCTCCCAGCCACTGCTCCAGCAATGCCACCTCCCCTGGATCCTATATCATGTTTTTCCTATATCATGTTTTTCCTTCTCTACAGGATTATCCCCGCTGGCACACATTCATTGTCATTGTTGCCAATTTAAATCTCAAATGAATTATAAATCTCAAAACAATTATGCTAACTGAAAGAAGCCAGACCCCCAAATCCTAAATTCTGATTCCGTTTTATAAAATTCTAGAAAATGAACACTAATCTATGGTGACAGAAAGTATATCAGTAGTTACCTGAGGGGAAGGGGCCAAGGAATGGATTACCAAGGGCAGGAGGAAACTTGAGGGTATTAAACATGTTCATTAACTTGATTGTGGTTTCAAGGGTGTATAAATGTCAAAACATATCAAATGAACACTTCAAATATGTGTAGTTTATAGCATATCAATTATACCTAATTTTAAAAAAATCTCTTGACCCCACATACCTCCAGCCATTGTCCAATTTTGCTATTGCCTTTTATGTTAAAACTCCCTAAAGAGCTGTCAAAATGTACTATCTCCAGTTTCTACACCATTTTTTATCTTACTACTCTCCCCTGCCTTGCTCCACACCAGCTAAATGGGCCACCTTGCCATTCCTAACTCCCCAGGCATGCTTCTGCACTCTGCCCCCAGACAGCAATGAGGATCCTTCACTTCCTAAAGAACTTTGCTCAGTTGTCATCCCAGAGAGGCCTTCCTGAACTACTCTATTTGAAACTCCAACCCACCTATCACCCCTGACATTTGCCATCTCCCTCCCCTGCCTGATTGGTCTCCATCTCATTTAGCACCACCCTACCCCACTACATACGTACTTGTTTACTGAGTATCTCCCCCAATCAGAACATTGAGGGAGATATTTTGTCTATTTTGTTCATTGCCTATAACCTTGATTCCCTGGCCTCTAATGTGTCTCAATAAATATGAGGACCAGTGGATTAGTGTTTTCCGAGTCATTTGGTTGTAAATAAGAGAAACCCACTCACAGTCACCTAAGCAAACAAGTGTTAGAGGAAATTCAAAAAATATCATGGACTCCTAGGGGAAGAGGTACAACCAGAATAGGGCAATAGGAAGGCATCAGGAACTAAGGTGGTTTCTCTCTCTTCTAGTCTGATCTATTAAAGCAGGATAATCTTTATTTTCTTTGCACTTAGGTTGCATTCTTGTTCATTCTCTACAAACCAACTTTCTCCACTGATGACCTAGATACAGCATTCCCAGCCTCCCACTTTCTCAGATCAGGAATTTCACTATAAATCCCAATTACAAATCCCTGCTTAGAGAAGGGTTGAGTCCGTTGTACCACCATGGTCCAGTTAACTATAGCCTAGGGAAGAGGCATGTGGCTTTTTAGTGTCTAAGAGGGTATTTTGTTCATAGAAAATGAAATGCCCTCTCTTGAGTTGAACAGACTAAATTTGTTTTAATAGTCCCATTTACAATTCAAATTCCCTTAAACAACTTAATAGCATTTATACATTTAAAAAAATGATTCTCTTTTAAGCAGCACTGCAAATGCTTGACCCCATTAACAAAACCTTCCCAAGTGCTTAACTCTCATAAATATAATAAATTAAACATACGGTGACTTTCCAAGTTCTCTGAAACATTTCAGTACTCTTGCAGACTTAGTAACATTTTAAAGTACCTTTCAACTAAAACTCACAAGTCTAAAAATCTGTTAAGCATTTTAAATTAGAATCTTAAGGCCAGTGTCACATATTGTAATATGCCAATTATGTTTAAATACTTCAAAGAGCAAATACTATAGTTTGTCTCAATGAATATAATAACCATTCCTGCTGGGTGCAGTGGCTCATGCCTTTAATCCCAGTCATTAGGGAGGCTGAGGTGGGAAGATCGCCTGAGACTAGGAGATTGCCTCAGGCCTGGGCAACATGGTGAGAACTCTTCTATCAAAAAATCAAAATAAAAAATAAGCTGGGCATGGTGGCTCATCCCTGTAGCCCCAGTTTCTCAGGAGGCTGAGGTGGGAGGATGGCTTCAGCCTAGGAGACAGAAGCTGCAGTGAGCTATGATCACACCACTACACTCTAGCCTGGACAACAGAACAAGACCTTGTCTCTAAAAAAAACAAAACAAACAAACAAACAAAAAAGTATTCCTGAATTTAAGTATTAATGGCTATGGGAATTGCTTCCTAACCTGTTTGAAAATGTGTAACTGTTCCATATTTTGAGACCTACAGCACTCAGTGAAGCTTTGTTAAAAGGAATGAGTAGTTTAGGCCTCAGCAGGCAAGCCACTGCACAGTGCTAGGATGAAGAGCTCACATTCAGGGACTTCAAGAGTGAATCAACTACTTTTGTTAATTCAATGTTAAATGAGAATAATATCAACCTTCAATGGTTGTGTTGAGAATCAAATGAAATGACATATGGGAAAACCTTTGTTACATGTTACAAAATTGATGGCAACTACAGCTTTAGGTAGAATTTCAACTTCTAATTTTTACTACTATGCAAATTATCAGAATATTTATGATGTTAACTTTTTAAAAAGGTTTTTAAATAGAAACTTTATTTAAATAAATGAACCCTTCTCAACCCCAAAACCCAGCTTCTGATCTTGACGAACATCATAATTACTCAGGGAAACACACTGCTAGTTCCCTTACAAGCCAGTGTGCTGTGTGATTGCTGAAACCAACTCATGAAAAGGAAACTGGCCCTATTTCCAAGCATACCCGTATGAGAACATATTAAGTATATTCACTTTATATTAATTTAAACGTTAATGTTAGTCTAAATGTTAAATTAATATGTTAAACTTAATATGTTTATTTTTTACTTAAATAAGTAAAAATTACTTATTTTTACATAAAAGTACAATTACTTGCTGGAACACATTAAACATTTTTTCCAGAAAAAAAAAAAACCCTGAATTTACAGAACTAAAATTATGAGAGGAAATTCGCATTACAAAATCTTCCTCTATGGGTTCTTCTAGCTCAAGACATTTTTCTTACTGATTTTTAACTACTTGAGTTGGGGTAAGAATTAGAGAAAGGTCAGAGAGGTAGCAACTGTGAAATCAATGTACTAGGAGTTACTAGCCAACAATTATCTATCAAGAATGGATACATCAAAAAGCCAAGAAAATAAGAATCTCTTTATAAAAAAATAATATTTACAGGCTGGACAAAGTGGCTCACACCTGTAATCCCAGCACTTTGGGAGGCTGAGGCGGGTAGATCACTTGAGGTCAGGAGTTTGACACCAGCCTGGCCAGTAAGGTGAAACCCCGTCTCTACTAAAAGTATAAAAATTAGCCAGGCCTGGTGGCACACACTTGTAATCCCAGCTACTCAGGAGGCTGAGGCAGGAGACTTGCTTGAACCCAGGAGGGCAGAGGTTGCAGCGAGCTGAGATTGCATCACTGCACTCCAGCCTGGGTGACAGAGTGAGACCCTGTCTTTAAAAAAAAAAAAAAAAAACTTCTAAAAATAATTATTTACATTAAACTTCAAAAACAACTATTTTTCAAAGCAAACTGCTCTGGATTGGGGTTCTGAAACACAATATGATTGTGAATAATGGGGGGGGAATCTAAATACAAATCAGAGAAAATAGTTTTCAGAGGATTAGGTAGCTAGCTATAAGATTAGCTGGAAACATATGAAGAATAGTCTGAAAGGCTATTGTAAGAAAAACAACAAATTCTATCATTCCTCTGACCTGAAACAAGGTGAAAACTTGGTATAAAGGCTGCATGAAGAGAAGAAAAAAAAAGTAGTCCAATAAGGTCTATCTGTAGAGCTTTCACTCACACTCTGATTACAAACCTAGCTAGTGTCAGTTCTTCAGAGCCTTACTTGCCACACTTGGAACCGATGCAGTCCCATTACCAGCTGAAGCAGGGCATGTGATCTAAGACAAGTGTAAATATAAAGGAGAAAGGAAGCAAGCTAAGCAAGGGCCTAGAAATCCCAAAGGCACTGATCAAAGTGAAGAAAGAGGCTTTTTGTTGTTGCCATTTGTTTTTGTTGTTGTTTTCCAGAAGTAACACAAGGCTTTGTTCCTTTAGCAGGATTCCCCGTTGGACCCTCTCCAGAGAGGATTCAAATTTGAATTCCCATCTGAATACCAACCCGAATGTTGATACAGAACACTCCTGTACTAAAATTAATATCCATCCCAGATAAACCTACTCTGTGACCAAGACAATTGAGATCTTCTAGGTGAAGATGCTATGATTCAAAATATTACATGGAAAACCATGTCTTACTTAAAACAGGTACTTGTTTTCCGGCCATAATTATTCCAGTCTCTTCCATGGAACTGCTTCTGCAAATAGTTTTTTTAATGTATCAAAGACAGTCTCTTTCCGACATTTAATACATCAAATCTATTCCAACTTCAGAGTTTCTGTATGTCTTATTTAGCAGACACTATGATTCTATCTTCTTATTCTCTGGAAATCCATCAGATGTATGTTCCAACACAGAAGTGCCTTCCTTCCTTCTCATGGTGGCAAAAAGCATATCCATCATCCCCAAGGTTTCTAATAATTCTCTTTGGTAATCAATCTCTTTTTCTACAAGTCCTTGAAGTAGCAAAAACTTTTTATCAACTACAGGGGACTGACCAATTACAGGCAGATATATATCTAAAAAGAGAGAAAGGAAACACATTAACTAGCAATATCTTTCTATATATTAAGTGAAAAGCCAAAGTTTTCAAAAGTATAAAAATATTAACCATAAGAACACTGAAAATCTGTACTTACTTTATAATTAATTTATGATTTATAGAAAGTATAACAATCCCTCTGAGTAAATTTATTTCACAAAATAATAATTACAGAAAGTATAGAAGTCTTGACTTTTCATTTTCCCATCTGAAAAATTGTCGTCATTATAGATGTCTATAAAAAGTTTTTTTATAATAACCCTAGCAAAGTCACGCCACTATAAACATTTTACTACCTTTTAAACTGCATTGCCTTGTTATTTTCTCCATGAAAATCCATATTGAGATTTGATAAAAGCAAGATATTTTGATCTACTTGATTTCCAAATTTGATTATTTGACATCTCTACTTTTGCAAGCATGTTAGGATTTTCAAGTTTTAACGACCACTTACCAATAATTATTTCAGCAGCATTGATTAAAACAGGGGCAAATCTTGGCTGAGAAAGATGCCTACAAAGTAAAAATTCAGTTTAGTGAAACTTGTAAACTTAAAAATAAAATCCTTAAAGCAGATTTAGTTGTTTCATCAGTTCTCTATAAAGATCAAACTAAATGTCTTTTATTTGGTGATAAAGGATTTCAGATGCAAAATGTGTTTCACAGACATAAAACATACCTTATCAAAAAATTAAGAACATGACTGATTTCCTTCTCATCCCGACCTGCAAGTGCATTTGCAAGGACTCCTCTTCGATTTAACTCCTTTATGATGGACACCGTAATCTCGGGTGTCTTTATTGTACAAGTGGGCTAGAAAAATTGTCAAAGTCAACATGAGCAGACAAAACAGCACAAAAAACATCACTGTCTTGCACTACATTATCAAGTTTGAATAGGTATTTATCTTCACAGTTCCAAGTCATGGTAATATGCAGGGTAAATAATAACATGACTTTAAAAAAAAATGCTCACTCACATCAAGAACTCTGTCGAGTGCCTTAGAGATCCGAAAATGTTTCAGATCCCTGTCGTACAATTCTAGGTGTTTCTTTGCTGGCCTGTTAATCAAAATGTCATCCTGCAACGAAAAGCACATTTATAAAGAAGAAAAATCAGTATCTGTATAAAGATACACTTAATATAAACTTTTCCATAATGAAGTGGTATCTCTGAACTATGCCACAAATAATGTTCATATGCCCATAATAAACATAATAAATAAATGTTCATATGCCCGTAGATTAAATAAAAATGAATCCTGCTAATCAGAGTCAGAAAAAAAAAATGGAGTAACTTGCTACATCAACATGTTCTTACTTTGTTAGAATTTTAACTTACAACATGCAACACTGCCTTAATTCTAGGTAAAAATTCCTCATTTCAGTTCTCTTTATGTGGCAGGCAGTGTAATACAATAGAAAGAGAAACAAAACAACAATCAGAGATAATGAGATCTAGTCTCAACAACTCTGGATACCAGTAATGAAATCCTTAATCAATCACAAATTCTTTGTCTCTCAATCTTCTCAGGTGCCAAACAGGGACATGATTGGTTCTACTACTTCTTGGGATTTAGATCAAATCAGGTAGTATGTGAAAGACAATATTTTGAATGAAGTAAAGCATTATAACATTATGTTATGATGCAGACTATTACAAAAAGTAGTCCTTGTTCCCCATTACTCATCAATAATGTCCCCAATCTAGCAATCCAGAAATAATTCTGATGTAGAGAAATGCAAAATAAAGTTAAAGTGCCATGTGAACTACACTTTCCCGTAATGTGCAGGGACGAAGCTGGTTACTCTAAAAAATTTCACCCTTTAAACAAAAATGAGAAATGCACAAATACCCGTTGCTTCATGTAATTTTTTCCTTTAATAAAGGTTCGATATGCAGGCCTTCTTCTTCTGGGAAGTGATTCCTTCTTTGCTTCAGATTTCCGATGTTTAACACTCAGTATTCCATTGGTCATTCCTACAACTATTGTCTCATCTTCATGCTAATAACAATTAGAAAAATAAGTTAGTCTATTCTTAACTCATAATTTATAGTACTTTTACTTCAAAACACATTTATAATGTGTTTGCTGCTTGTCCATACATTCACCAACAGTTCCATTCAGACACACATAGTCTGCCTAACAATGATTGGTGTAAGACGTTAAAGTAAAATCATTTTTTCCTTAGGATACAAGTACATTGACAGAACTTATACTTGTAAAATATCACCGGCAAAGTTTGTATAATAATACAAAGTTAACGGCATCAAGGATTACACAGTAGCATGACTTTTACGATCTTGCCCCTCAAAAATATTTTTAATAAGCTTTTCCTCTCCCAAATCAGATTTCTGTATAATATAGTCAAATGCCTTCCTGCCCAAATGTGGCTTCTCATAAAACTTGACAGTATACATTTCAGAAAGAGCAGTAACAAAGAAAAGGAGAGATTTCATTTTGTTGTCCCCTTCCCCCTCAATCTTTTTTTCTGCTCAGAGAGCTAATCTGCCTTTCTAGTGTACTATAATACTCTTGAATTAAGTGAGTTGAAGAGAGATTTACCAGCTTCCCAGGACCTGCGTTTAGTGTTAACAATGCCTAGAGCACTGTACTTAGTTTGAAGTTATGCAGTGAGTGGGACCTAAACCCAAATTCATGCTAAGTCATTAGGACAAGTTACATATTCCAGTAATTGTCTTAACTCAAATATCTAATGTGGTAAGAAAAGTTACTCAAATCCAAAAATAAAGCCCAAAATTCCATTTTAGTTTCATTTAACAGGCAGGGTTAGTGACAGACTTAAAAACAGGTAAAGGTACTTACTGCAAGGGCAAGACTCAAAATCGAAGCTGCATAATCAAAGCTGTGGACTACTTTGTAGGCAGTTGTGCTGTACACTTTCACCTTCCTAATAAAAAGAAAAGCTTTCTCAAAAATCACCTTGAAAATGAGTATAAAATGCAAATTTCTATTTTCTGAAAACTCAAAATACAAACATTAAAATCTATACAACAGTGAAGAAAAACAGAGATTAGTAATGTTAGTTACAAACTAATTCATCACTGAATCCCTTAAAAAATGAGCTGCAGGCAGGGCACGGTGGCTCACACCTGTAATCCAAGCACTTTGGGAGGCCAAGGTGGGTGAATCAACTGAGGTCAGGAGTTTGAGACCAGCCTGACCAACATAGTGAAACCCCACCTCTATTAAAAATACAAAATTAGCGAGGCATGGTGGCACATGCTTGTAATCCCAGCTACTTGGGAGGCTGAGGCTGGAGAATTGCTTGAACCTGGGACGTGGAGGTTGCAGCGAGCCGAGATTGCACCACTGCACTCCAGCCTGGGCAACAAGAGCGAAACTCTGTCTAAAAAAAAAAAAAGGGCTGTATACCAGCTCTAACTATAACATCTGTATAAAGACTTTGACTAGCCATTTATAAAAAAAATAGAAGGGCCGAGTGTGGTGGCTCAGGCCTGTAATCCCAGCACTTTGGAGGCCAAGGTGGGCAGATCCCTTGAGGCCAGGAGTTCAAGACTAGCCTGGCCAACATGGCATAACCCGATGTCTACCAAAAATAATAAAAACTAGCCAGGTGTGGTGACACATGCCTGTAATCCCACCTACTCAGGAGGCTGAGGTATGAGAATTGCTTGAACCTTGGAGGCAGAGGTTGCAGTGAGCCAAAATCATGCCACTGCCCTTCAGCCTGGGTCACAGAGTAAGACTCTGTCTCAAAAATTTTTTAAGAAAACAAAACAAAACAGAACAAAAAAAAACGACAGGATAGACCATGAGCCACTGTCATCTGAAGATCAAACTTGGGAGTAAAGAAAAGGTATCAGCCGGGCACAGTGGCTCACACCTGTAGTAATCCCAGCACTTTTGGAGGCTGAGGCAGGTGGATCACCTGAGGTTGGAAGTTAGACAGCAGCCTAACTAATATAGAGAAACCCTGTCTCTACTGAAAATACAAAATCAGCCGGGCATGGTGGCACACGCCTGTAATACCAGCTACTCAGGAGGCTGAAGCAGGAGAATCGCATGAACCCAGGAGGCAGAAGTTGCGGTGAGCCAAGACCGCGCCATTGTACTCCAGCCTGAGCAACAAGAGTGAAACTCCGTCTTTAAAAAAATAAAAGAAAAAGTATCAATGAAAGCACATCAGAAAGCCTAGTGTGATGGCTCACACCTGTAATCCCAGCACTTTGGGAGGCCAAGGTCAGCAGATTGCTTGAGCCCAGGAGTTCAAGACCAGCCTGGGCAACATGATGAAACCCCATCTCTACAAAAAATAAATCAAAAAAAAAAAAGAAAGAAAGAAAGAAAGCACATATGAAGCCAAAGATCAGGGCTTCTCAACCTCAGAATTACTGTCATTTTGGGGCACAGAATTCTTTTTTGTAAGGGCTGTTCTGTGCATTGTAGGATGTTTAGCAGCCTTCCTGGCCTCTATCCCCTATATGGCAAGTACCACGAGTTGTGATAAAAAAAAAAATACTTTCTCAAGATATTGTCAAACATTCCTTGAGGAACAAAAATCACTCTTGGTTGAAACCACCACAAATAGAGGCAATTTACACTTAGCTTTTAGGAACATACCTAAGAATCCAGTCCCAAATTGCCTAGTAACATGATTTCAGTAACATGTGTAAATACTTGCCATGTATTTACACAAAAAATTCCTTTGTATTAAAAATATTTTCTAGCTTTTAAAATATATACATTCAATCCTTATGGCAGGTTCCACATCTGCAGATTCAACCAACCATGGATTAAAAATATCCATAAATACATAAATAAAATAATACAGAATTTTAAAATACAGTGTAACAACTATTTACATAGCATTTGCATTGTATTAGGTATTACAAATAAGCTAGAGATGATTTAAAGTATACAGTGGATGTGTGTAGGTTATACGCAAATATGCCATTTTAAATAAGGGACTTGGGCATCCACAACCAATTCCCCTCAGTTACCAAGGGGTGACTGTATACTTTTTAATTAACATGCTGAAAACTAAAGTTTTTCATAACAGCAGAAAAAAATGAAAATATGGAAATAAAATAATTAAAAATAGATCGTGTAAGCCAGTCACGGTAGCTCACGCCAGTAATCCTAGTACTTTGGGAGGCCGAGGCGGGAGGATCTGTCGAACTCAGGAGTTTTGAGACCAGCCTGGGCAACATGGCAAAACTCCATCTCAACAAAAATACAAAAATGAGTCAGGTACAGTGGCATATGCTTGTGGTTCCAGCTACTCAGGAGGCTGAGGTGAGGGGATCGCTTGAAGCCGGGAGGTGGAGGTTATAGTCAGCCAAGATCATACCACTGCCCTCCAGCCTGGGCAACACAGCAAAACCCTGTCTCAAAAAAAAATACTAATAATAAATCATGTAAATCCTAGAACTGTGCCATACTTCTAGCCACACGTGGCTACTGACCACTTGAAATGTGGCTAGTGAAAATGAGAAACTAAATTTTTTATTTTACCTAATTTTAATTTAAAAACTGAGACAGTAATTTTTACAAAATATTAACGTTCTTTTTTTTTTTTTAGAGACAGGGTATCGCTGTCACCCAGGCTAGAGTACAGTGGTACTATCACAACTCACTGCAACCTCAAACTCCTGAGCTCAAGTGCTTCTCCTGCCTCAGCCTCCCTAGCAGCTATGATTAAAGGTGTGTACTACTGTGGCCAGCTAATTTTTAAAATTTTTTGTAGAGATGGGGTCTCACTATATTGCCCAGGCTGGTCTCAAACTCCTGCCCTCAAGTGATCCTCCCACCTTGGCCTCCCAAAGCACTGGGATTACAGGTATAAGTCACTGCACTCAACCTAAAATATGATTATTGTATCACAGTGCACATGTTTAGATGCTTAATTTATTTCTAGTATCTTAACAATTTTGACATAGATTACATGCTGAAATTAAATTTTATATGTAATATATATTGTATTTTTACATTAGATATTAGGCTAAACAAAATGTGCTATCTAACTTTTAGGCCAGGCACAGTGGCTCATGCCTGTAATCCCAGCACTTTGGGAGGCCAAGGTGGGTGGATCATGTGAGGTCAGGAGTTCGAGACCAGCCTGGCCATTATGGCAAAACTCCACCTCTACTAAAAATACAAAAACTAGCCAGGCAGGGTGGGAGGCGTCTATAATCCCAGCCAATCGGAAAGCTGAGGCAGAATCGCTTGAATCCAGGTGGTGGAGGTTGCAGTGAGCTGAGATCACACCACTGCATTCTAGCCTGGGCAACTGAGTGAGACTCCATCTCAAAAAAAAAAAAAAAAAAATTATCTATATTTTAAAAAACTTTTTAGGTCCGGCACAGTGGTTCACGCCTGTAATCCCAGCACTTTGGGAGGGCGACATGGGCAGATCACAAGAGGCCAGAAGTTCAAGACCAGTCTGGGCAATATGGCAAAACTCCATCTCTATGAAAAATACAAAAATTAGCCAGGTGTGGTGTTGCACACCTGTAATCCCAGCTACTCAGGAAGGTCACAAGAATCAATTGAACCTGGGAAGCAGAGGTTGCAGTAAGCCCAGATTGTACCACTGCACACCAGCCTGGGCGACAGAACAAGACTCTGTCTCCAAAAAAAAAAAAAAAAGAAAAAAGAAAACCTCAAAATATATGAATGTACAATAATGGTTTTAAAATATGGTTCATAGAATAACATTATTTAAAAGGTTATCATTCAAATGGTTCAATAATGTTGTTTAAGTATATAAGTTAAAACAAATTGTGTCAAAAGAGAAAATAAGTAGCTATGTGTAAACAAAAGGTCAAAACTATTTTCAACTCAACAGGTTTTTATCTCCTGGAAATCATTATCAGAATACTTATCACAAATATTGCTGAAATAACTCATTTCCTCAAACAGTAAACATCTGTACACTAATAATAATATACAAAAAAATTAAAATGCCAACCTATCCAGTGAGCCAGAGAGTAACCTCTGTCCAGAGCTGCTTAGACATAAACATGTCACGGTTTTGTGATGATTTTTCAAAGATACGAGCAATTGTCCTCCTTTTAACATATCCCAGACTTTAACATAACGACCTCCTATAAAAAGAAATCATCATTAGTTGGATATTCTGCCAACAGATTCAACATATTAAAGAACTGAAAAGCATTCTTCCCTGGACACTCCACAAAGCATGCAGGCTGAGTGAGGGAGTCCAGGCCAGGCTGCCTGGTAAAATCCTGGCTCCACCACTTCCTGGGTTATTGGTAATAACAGTTCCTACCTCACAGAACTGTTATGACAAATAATATTTGTGAAGCATACAGAAATTCCAGCAAAATAAATGTATAACTGAAAGAGTTCATTTTAAGAAAATTGTAATAAAATCATTTTTTAAAAGAAATTCTATATAGCGGTGGGAGTGAATAATGTAGATTTGCAGCAAAATATCAAGCAGAAAAGTCTAATATGGAAAAACAGAAAAAGGGATGGAAGGGAAGACCGAAATCTTGACTGGGGAACAGGAGTTGGAACCCAACTCACAGTTCCCACCTCTCCACTCCTATGTGGCACCTCACAAGAGGGATCACAGTTGAAATCACTGATCTAGTTCAACCCTCTCATTTTCAAGGTCTAGAGACCTTAAGGGATTGCCCAAGGTCACAATTAGCTAGTGACACACAGTGGAGATTAGCATTCTATTCTCGCTGTTCAACTTGATATTTTTTCCATTTGTCAGAATAACAGCAAGAAAAGTAGAAATATCTGACTGAGTCTTAGAGTCTTGCTATGTTGCCCAGGCTGGTCTCAAACTCCTGGACTCAAGCTATCCACCTGCTTCGGCCTCCCAAAGGCCGAAGGTGGGTGGATCATGTGAGGTCAGGAGTTCGAGACCAGCCTGGCCATTATGGCAAAACTCCACCTCTACTAAAAATACAAAAACTAGCCAGGCAGGGTGGGAGGCGTGAGCGACCACGCCCCACCTCAACTTATTTTTAAATCAAATAGCTACTGGGGAAAAGAATATAAAACAGAGTAATTTCTAGCCAAATTTTAGAATTAAAAAAAAAAAAAAGGATGCACACACAGCAACATAGCAACACATATGTTGTCAAGTGTACGTACTACCAATACATTCTTCTAATATGAACACATTTTACTTTATTTACAAATGAAAAAAACCAATTTACTTCTTCCATTGTAATTATGAAAATGCAATATGTGCAAAATGAGAAAAACATCTCAGTCCCAACTTGTTGAAAAATGTACCAAGGCCCCTTTTGAGGTCACATTATCTCCTTTCTCTAGTACTAGCAGCTATCCGCTGGGTAGGGGCATTTCAATCAAGAGAGGCACAGAAAAAGAGACAAGCCTACAAGATCTCAAATAACTGATATTCAAAAGCTGCTGCAGATCTGTTAGGTAGGAGTAAAAGGAGTATGAGCTAAATTTCTGGGGTTAAATAAGATGGCACAGGGCTAAATATATAAGGTAGGCTCTCGAGTTCTGTGATTTCAGATCACTTACCACTTTGCCTTGGAAAAATCAGTTAAAACTTTCATTTCATTAGCTGTAAAATAGGGAAAAAGCTAACTACCTTGTAGCATCGTCTAGGGCATTAGAGTTAATATGTATATAACAGCACAGTGCCTGGCTCACATTAGGTACACAATAAATGATAACTGCTTGCCAGTCCTACCTATCAACTGTTTGAACAAAAACTTAAATATGCAATTCAAGTGCACACTGATAAATTATAAAGAGCAACTGATTTTAAACAAATGTGATTCAAAACCAACAATATTGGTGAAAGCTATTTTTAAGAAGTACCTGCTGACACCAGAAGACCTCCAGAGGGGAAAAGCAGGACACTCTCCACTGGCTGCCCATGCTCAACAGAGAGAACACTCGTATTCGTTCGTGCATCAAACATCTTCACAGTATGATCATATGATCCTAAAATGTCAATTTTTGTATTTTTAGTTTGACTGTTTAAAACAACAAAAACTGTATGTATCCAGGTACAAATTTTAAAAGGAAAAAAAGTTTAGATGGAATTTTAAAAAGACATATATGTATATTCATGAAGATACAGGACCTCCAAACCCTCTACTACTGATCGTGCCTGAAGAAGCACTACACAATACTATACAAAATCTAACTTGCTCTGATCTTAAAATATTCCTTTCTTTGGACTACTGTCACTACTAAATCATCTGGAAATCTTTGTAAAGGCACCCACAAAGGCTAAACTGCACTGTCTTTGTTTCTTGGCTGCTTGAGGCAGGGAACTATCCATTACAGTTCTGAGAGTCTATTATGTTTTCAAGACAGCCTGATTTTTCCAAACACATTTGGAAGACATGAACAATCAACAAAAGAAGAATAAGAAAATAAAAAACAATTGGAAGCCACGCACGGTGGCTCACACTTGTAATCCCAGCCCTCTGGGAGGAAACTGATGCAGGTTGATCACTTGAGCCCAGGAGTTTGAGACCGGCCTGGGTGACATGGCGAAACCCTGTCTCTACAAAAAAAAAAAAAAAATACACAAAGTAGCTGCACGTGGTGGTGGGCACCTGTAGTCCCAGCTACTTGGGAGGCTTAGGTGGGAGGATCACTTGAGCCTGGGGGTAGCAGATGCAGTGAGCTGCGATCACATCACTGCACTCCAGCCTGGGCAACAGAGTGAGACCCTGTCTCAAAATAAATACAAATATACATACATAAAAATTAATTTAAAAATTGGAGAATTAATCAGAAACATATTTCTTCATAAAAAAAATTTTAAATCCCTCCATCCCAAGAGTCCCTTAGCAACATTAAAGTACATCCCCGTGAGATTATTTGCTTCAGGAGGGAATAGAGTTCACCAACCTGTTATAAAGAGATCCGGATTAAGTTTGCTAGCACATCCACACCTCACATAATCAGAATGTTCTTTAAATGTCAAAATTTCTTTGGAGTTTGGAATATCCCATAATTTAACTGTATAATCATCAGCTCCAGAGACCACATGATATTTGTCAGCTGTAAAATCTACTGTATGCACTGCTCTGAAAGATTGAAGATCAGTACATTAGAAAGCAAGAAAATTATTTTTCTGGTACCTTCTAACATAAAATGTTCCTTTTTCTCAGATTAAAAAAAAAAAGCAGCTGAGTTTCAGGGAGTCTTCATAGAGGGAAATCATGAAAGAAAGAGAAAACTTACAAGTGTTTGCCCCCAAGCCAATTAAGAAATGTAAATACTCCTATATTGTAAAGTTTAAAAAAAATATTAAAGAATAGCCTTAAAATCATACTTTCTAAAATGTTAACAATTCCATTTAGCTGCTGAATATGGGCGCAAAGGCAGTTCAATTTTTAAAATTTCAAAAAGTTCTTTAAAAAACTCTAAAAAGATTTACCACTAAATAGAATCATGTTACATAAATTTCTGTTATATTTTATCAAGTTTCAGCAAGGACATTGGTAATCCTGAAAATGAAGTTATAATATAAAATTGTGATGGCCACTTAATTTATCAAGGGGCAAAATACTATAAATCCAAGAGGAAAATCCACCTTCCAACTTGACTTCAACATGAGAGCTTCCAAGACAGTACAGGCCGATAGAGCTCTCATTACTAGCTGTAAGGTTGTCTTTAGATCAGTAATTCATCACCTCAACTGGGCCACAGACCCCACTAAAGTTAACCAAAAGCTACAGAATAGCTCCCTAGATAAACGTATATTTCCTAAAATATCACATACAATTCTAGGGAATTCATAAGCCCCATGAAACTGGACCACGGAACCGAAGTTAAGCACTCTTAGAACAATCAGGAAATATAGTACACACAGGCAAATAATCTTCATAAAACTGCTCTATGTTTTTCATCAAAGCCCAGAGAAAAAAAGAGCTTACAACAAAATAAAACCAGAACACATAAAAACCAACTGTCTCTTACTTTGTATGGCCTTCAAACTGCCTGAGGGGAGCCCTCCCACTTATATCAAAAAGTTGAACTCCACCGTCTTCACTGCCAGCCACAAGCAATCTACCATCTTGTCGAAAAGTAGCACAGTAGGCTGTGTCTTTAAATCGAGAAAAGGTTTTTATAGGTTCTTGGGAGTATCGGCCATAAATGTGAATCTACAAGAGGAAAGACAGTATTTCACCAGATGACTCAAGATCAGTAGTAAACTATACAAAAGAAAAATAAAGAAATTCAATATTATACTTACTCTTGAGGAAGCTGTGACAGCATAATTATATGGAGGCTGAGGAGAAAAGTCTACTTTTGAAACTGCACCAAATTCCTTAATCTGAACAGGGGTCTTAATAAAAAATAATAGCATGTTAACAGAGTTACCGCTGGTGAGACCTATCTAAGTATTACATAATTTCTTACAGACCATTTCTCTTTGTTCTTAGTAACATTTCTTAGGTTGTATTTAACATAAAATTACAAAGAAAGCAAAAAAGGTCCATATCTCATCACCCAGACTATTCTTGTTGCCACTGAAATAAATGTATGGTTAGAAAGCCACACTCCACTCTGTCTCTTCAGCTATTGAGTTTACTGTGATTTCTACCAGGAAAAAAAAAAAAAAAAGTTATCATGTCTATGCCAGCATATAATAACCATGTACTTTTAAAATAACACAAAGATAATCATACCATGCAGGCTGTTCCACATCTTGCTTCTTTTCACTTAGTAACACATCTTAGCTATCATAGGAGCAACAGACTTACCATCCATTTTAAGGACACACTGTAATTTACTATACCAGTCCACTACTAACAGACATAGGTTTTTCAAGATTTCTACTATTACAAGCAATACTTCATTAAACATCTTTACATACATGAGATTCAAATTTTAAAATTTAATTCATTTGGCATTGATTGATCATCTATTGTGTGCTAGGTATTTGTATGGTTACTCTGATTAAGCAGTATGGACTTTTACATAAAATTCCAAGAAAAAATAGATATCAAATTATCTGCCCAAACTATAAGCTGCTGATAGTTTTTAGTTAACAATTCTCTGTTAGAGCATCCAGAGTATAACATATGCTAGAGAAACTGGCATAAACACAAATCCCTCCTCCCTCATTATCTCCCACACTCACCTTATAGTTGTTCCAGTACAGTGTATCTTGCGTGATTTTTTCACCAAGTATAGGATATGTCTGAATAGCTACAGGCTTATAACCAGCCATAATTCCATATAATTGCACTATTGTCCAAGGGTCACTATTTTGGAATTGGTATTAGAAATAATTGCAGTGACTCTGTCGTAATTCTGAAAAAGAAAATATTTTATATACATATTATAAACTTGTACATATAGTTGATTTCCACTTTGCTTTCTTTAAAAGGTCTGTGTGGAAGTATATAGAGACCAATAAGCCATGTAATTGTAACCCAGAAAAGGCAATCTATAGGAAACAGGAATAATTAAAGTAAGGGCTATCATATCGCACCATCTATTCAGCTGTACACAAAGGTTCTTACATCTAGCCAACCGTTTTACAACACTTGGGAATAAATCTAGCACAGCCTTACAGTAGCCAAATCAAAAAGGATCATGCTGGCTTTGAGTGTCCATTTTTTGGCAACAGGAAACATTAAGGTGAAACTGCAAATACAAGTTTCCTGAATCCAAGTTTTGGATGACATTTAATCCATAACAATTACAGTTACGGACTTGATTTCCTGAAAGCCTAAAAATGCTAATAATTAAGAAACACAAAGCTTCTAATGTAGAAGCTTAAAATTAAATTTACTTTAAAAGGTTTAAACTGTAGGAACGAAAACTGTAATAAAGCAATCCTGAAATTAAATTCAACACTAAAGTGGTAGAATAGGATAAAACTTTTAAATAACATGCAATCGAGCCAAAACATCTTTCCAGAACGATTCAATTGCAAAAGAGATTCAGTTATCAGGTAAATGATTCCAGAGGTGGTACTCATCATCTATTCCAAGAAGCCTGAAAACTTTACATCAGTAACACCACAACAAATAGGTATAACATATATTTAAAAGGTGCTTTAATGAAATACAACGACCAATGATTAACAGGGGAACACTCTTCTGTTCATTCAAGTACCTACCAACGTGCAGGACACTGTTCTAGGCACTGGGGATATAATGGTGAATGAAAAAAAGACATGGTCTGTGCCCTCGCTTACTCCAGTATACTCCATTTTGGCTGGTGACTGGCACCAGATATTAACATAGACTCAGCCTTTCCGTGTCCTTCTTCCTCACTCCCTACATCCAAATAGTTAACAAGATCTGCTGATTTTATCTCCCAAATCTTTTAAAACTCCATTACGTTCACTTCACCTGAGGGAACCTCGTAAGCAAAGACAAAGATGGAAATGTGTCCATTGCCTTGGAGAGTTGCTGATTACTCCGGGAACTAACAACGGTGGACAGGAGAGGGTGCAATCGCAGAGAAGAATCTAGGTCGAAGCTTAACTGAGGGGAACTTGAGCCGGTTAAAGAATTTAGCCACTCTACTATACAGCCTGGGAAGCCCCAAGAGCATGCCAGATAACACAGAAAGGCCGGGTGTGTGGGCTTCCCTCAATGGGAGCCGCCTTCACCTACCTCCACCGAGCCCCAAAGGGTCCGACGAGACACCTCGACCCAAGGACAATTAATCGGACTGGGCCAGCTCCCTATCCCCTGGACAGTTCAGCAGCACTGGCGTAAAAATCACGTGGACCCTCAAGGAGCCGGCGACACACACAGCGAACCTAACGTCGCGCGAAAATGACGTACCAGCGCACGCTCAAGATACTCACGCAACCCGGCGGCGCGGAGGCGAGTCAGGTGGGCGGGGCGATCTGGAGCAGGAGGCGTGACCGGAGGGCGAAATTGGGGCTTCCTCTGCTCTGGTGACCCAGAACCGTCAACTGAAATGACCCTATCTGTGTAGTACTCCGGCAGGATGGGCCTTGGAGCGTAAAGGCGGCAAAAAAATAAAAAAAAGGAGAGAGAGACAAAGAAAAGAAAACCTGAAAATCTCAGCTGCACTGCCACAGAACGTTTTTCAGCCAGAAGGCGAAAGAAGAAATCGGAAGTGACGTCGCGGCCAAAACAAGCCCGGGCTTGGAGGCCTGTACTGAAGCTGGCCTCAGATGGGAAGGCTCCACTCGCTGTCTGCTGTCGTCGGTGGTCGCGAGACCCTGCACTCTCACCGGGTCGGCCTCCAGCCCCCGTGTCCGGGATCCGCTCGCCGCGGATGAGCGAGAGTTTCTTCCTGGGACTTTTCGGGCACAGCTGGCGGGTGGCTACAGAACGGACTTCCTTTCCTACAAGAGTCTCCCCTCCAGCGGGCTCCTGTCTCGGGACGCTGGGACACCTGTAGCCTGTGAGGCATCATTTATTTTCATAGCACCTTCCTCTCCTTGTAGGATAATTCCAGAATCAGGAAGAAACGAGGGGCTCCTGTTATTAGCATCCGCAGGAACTAGCATAGCTGCTCACTTTATCTCCTTAGACTCTCTATCCCTTCATCCCTGGGCTCTGACAGATCGAGGTGAACCTAGCTATCTATTTAGCCTTACCCCCTTTTTCTCACCACCTCCTCTTCTAAGTCGTGTTTACCTCACCCCCCGCCACCCTCACCCCCGCCTCCCTCTCCTGTTCTTCAAAATTTTGTCTTACCAATCAACTTTGCTTCTCCTCGCATTAGACTGCTGTGCCAAGATAAGCGTTCTTTTTCCACCCACCCCCTTCCCCTAAACACATTTGCTATTCTCCTCTCGAAGACCTGTAATTCCATCTATAAACCTTGATTTGTAACATGGAAACTGTTTAGAGCTGGAAAGAATATTAGAAAGGCCTATTTCAACACCTTTTTATAATAGGTGAATTTCAGAAAACTTGTATTATTTATTTGTCCAGGATTGCCCAGCTCTTTAGTAGCGATGTTGGGAGTGGAAAGCCAGGTCTAATCAGCAAATGTTAGAAATCGAAAAAAGAGTATGGAAAAAATTATTAAAGTTAAGATCAGAAAACATTTACGGAGCACCTGGTAGGACCAAGTACTGTTTTGTGTGCAGAGATTGGTAAGAGTGGTCCCCATCCTAGGGGAGTTTTCAATTTAGATTTATGTAAATGGTCAAGAAAATGGTAAATGCTAAAATACAGATATATGCAGGGCACTCAGCTTAGGGGAGTTGCACTTAGCCAACTGCTGGATAGGAAAAAGGGGGAGATGGTTCTTCCCTCAGGAAACACAGTTGGGATTGTCCAGTACTTTTTAAGACGCATGGACTAATGCATTGCACATCCATCTCCCTTTGAATCTCTGAACTTACTTTCTTTTCTGGTTTCCTTCTTTTTGCCGAAATGTATTAACCTTCTTCCTGCCTTTTTTTTGTTTTTTTTTTTTTCCTTACTATACTATGTGTTATTTATTCAACTCTCTCTTGGAGGTTTTGGCTTTGTTCAGTGCTGCCTCATTATTAAAATTAATGGTCAGAGTGATGGAGTCAGAAGAGCTGAGTAAGCCCTCATAATTCATGAGCTTCCTTTTTCTCCTCTCCTAGGTGGACATATGATTATCTGACCTGCCTACTCAAAGGATTATTACAAGGATTAATCTTTGAAAATGTTTTTAAAATTGTCAAAGGTGGTTATCTGTAAATGTAGGGTTTGGTGACCCTTGCTCCACTGTGATCCTAATGCATTTTTCTTTTAATTCAAATTCCAATTTTATAACACCCTGCACCCTCTCAAAACTTCTAAGAGGCAATAAACCCTAACGTGAAAAAATTAACTGGATGTTATTAATTGCCTTCCTGTCCCAAATGATAATGTATCTAAGACAATTATACATCTTGGAAAGCCAATCCATAATCTACCTACTTTATTTTTCATGAAACCTACATTAAGTTGCTAGTGCTTAATCTGAACAAAAATTGATAAATGTACCTTCAGTTCAAGAAAACCAAAGTTTTGTAAAGTCTTTCACGGTCTAGGAATCACAGGTGTTACAGATAACAATGCCAATAAACTTGGATACAACATGAATTATATCATTTCTAAATTCAAACTAAGGGCCACCTATATAAACATAACATATTAAAGAACTAACCTGAGGTAAGAAGTTAAAGTTTATTTTCATTGTTAGCCTGATCTTTTATCCATTTGGCAATATTCAGATATAGGAAATGGGAGAAACAGTAACTAAAATTTATTGGAATTTAATGATGGAGGTGAGAATGTCACTGTCCAGTATTTCATTTGGTCTTTACCAGAACCCTGTAAGGTTAATGGTGGTATCCCTATTTTATAAACGACACGGAAACTCAGAGGGATTGAGTAACTTATACAGGTCACACAGCTAATTAATGGCAAAGCTTGGATACATACTCAGGTTTCTCTACCTCTGAACATTATATGCTTTCTATTATGTGTAGGTGCTTTCGAGAGCATTGTTTCGATACTTGATTGAAAATGATTATTTTGTGTATTTTTACCTAAGTTGATAGAATACTTTTAATTTTCTAATTTTTTTCTTTCAGATTTTTAAATATCCAAATTCCAAGAATACACTGGATACTGCTCTTATAAAACCAAGAGGAAATCATGAAGAAATGTTTTAATTACTGAAATTACAGTTGAAATCATGGCTACATCAACAAATCTGGATATTGGAGCCCAGCTTATAGTGGAAGAGTGTCCCAGCACTTATAGCCTAACTGGCATGCCAGACATTAAAATAGAACATCCACTGGACCCAAATTCAGAAGAAGGGTCAGCTCAGGGTGTTGCCATGGGAATGAAATTCATATTGCCTAACCGATTTGATATGAATGTGTGTTCTCGATTTGTGAAGTCCTTAAATGAAGAAGATAGTAAAAATATTCAAGATCAGGTTAATTCTGACCTGGAGGTGGCATCTGTCCTATTTAAAGGTTGAAAGTTATGGTATAAATATCTGCATTTGTTTTTGTTTTTGTGTATTTGGGTTTTTTCCCCAATCATGAAATTTTGAGTTTGGGAAGACAGTTTAGAAGTCATTTTTTAATATGATTTTCTGGAATCTCACAGAAGCCAAATTAAAATAATTTCAGATTATATAATATTTAAAGGAAGTACATGTTTTTTTAAAAACTTCTTTTTTAATATTTGTTTACAAATTCCCTAATGAAGTTCCCTATTGTTCCTTTAAAAATCATAGGGCTGGGCACGGTGGCTCATGCCTGTAATCCCAGCACTTTGGGAGACCGAGGCGGGCAAATCACTTGAGGTCAGGAGTTCAAGACCAGCCTAGCCAACATGGTGAAACCTCGTCTCTACTAAAAATACAAAAATCAGCCAGGCGTGGTGGGACACACCTGTAATCCCAGCTACTCAGGAGGCTGAGGCACGAGAACTGCTTGAACCAGAGAGGCGGTGGTTGCAGTGAGCTGAGATTATGCCACTGCACTCCAGCCTGGGCAACAGAGTGAGACTCTGTCTCAAAAAATAAAATCATAAGAAAAAAAATTCGTGTTCCTTTTAGAAATGAATTAGTGTAATATCCCTTCCTGAATATTCCTGTTCTATGAATATTTAATGTGCATTCATTTTCTGTGCTTTAATGCATTGAAGTCTGTCATCATGCCCTAGATTTGCTTTTTTTTTTTTTTTTTTTTTGAGACGGAGTCTCGCTGTGTCGCCCAGGCTGGAGTGCAGTGGCGCGATCTCGGCTCACTGCAAGCTCCGCCCCCCGGGTTCACGTCATTCTCCTGCCTCAGCCTCCCGAGTAGCTGGGACTACAGGCGCCCGCCACCTCGCCCGGCAAGTTTTTTGTATTTTTTTAGTAGAGACGGGGTTTCACGGCGTTAGCCAGGATGGTCTCGATCTCCTGACCTTGTGATCCGCCCGCCTCGGCCTCCCAAAGTGCTGGGATTACAGGCTTGAGCCACCGCGCCCGGCCCTAGATTTGCTTTTACAATGATACCCTGAATAATAAAACTATTCTCTTAGGATAACATCACTCAAGATTAATATTTTTTTCCAGAACTTTCACTGTGGTAGTACAGTACAGACTTTTTTTTTTTTTTTTTTTTTTTTTTTTTTTGAGTGGAAGTCTCGCTCTGTTGCCCAGGCTGGCTCTGTTGCAGGCTGGAGTGCAGTGGCGAGATCTTGGGTCACTGCAACCTCCACCTCCTGGGTTCAAGCAGTTCTCCTGCCTCAGCCTCCCGAGTAGCTGGGATTACAGGTGTGCACCACCATGCCCAGCTAAGTTTTTGTATTTTTAGTAGAGACGGGGTTTCACCATGTTGGCCAGGCTGGTCTCGAACTCCTGACCTCAGGTGATCCACCTGCCTTGGCCTCCCAAAGTGATGGAATTACAGGCTTGAGCACCATGCGCAGCCTAGATTAACTCGCCACTATGCAAACAAGGAAGTATAGACTTTCTATGATAAAAACAATTTAGTATCACTTGATAAATAGTTTAATTGAAGCTATTATACCTCATGTATTTCTTTTTAAATGTAGCCATTGACATAGAACTCTTACTGAAATGCTTTTAATGTGTTTACATTTGTTTTTTACTTAGCTGAATGCAATATCCATACATCTCCTTCTCCGGGAATTCAAGTAAGGCATGTCTACACCCCATCTACAACAAAGCATTTCTCACCCATAAAACAGTCAACTACTTTAACCAACAAACACAGAGGAAATGAGGTCTCTACCACACCTCTGTTA